AAATAGAAAACAAATCTATTTTTAGAACATATTTCATGCAACATTTAAGACATTTCAGTTCTACAAACACCATTAAATAGTTGTACATTTGGACAGTCCAACTGTATCACATCACATCTGACATTAACAATATATAACAGGAATTACAGGACAGTCTTCATTCAGCACACTGCCTATGGATGATGAGACAATGCATGAAAAATCGTCATATTGACACAGCAAACATCCCCAAACTTCACTTTGACAAGGAGGAATATGGAATCACTAGTCAGATGTAAGTCATGCTCACGTCCCTGAAAGGCCAGGTGTCTATGTGGCTCATGTACCATTTGTGTCTATAAGAATAGCACTCATGAACTTTGAGTGATCCTTGGCCCCAAATAACATTAATATAAAAATATATCCATTAAGCAATAGTTACAGCCAACTCTCAATTGTCCACAATGAAATTATGAACACAGATGAATGAAATACACAGGTAACCCCCCAGCCTCAGTTTAGCTAGTAATGACTGGTTGAAACTCCACCAATAATAGCTGCAGATAGGAGATAGATGGTGAAATTTGAGTCTCACTTACTATTCTTAGTCCTCTCAGTCTCTGAGGATAATGCTTTTAAAACCCCGAAACAAAAACAAATCAGGAAGTACAAAATAAAAACATGGATAAAAAGTTCTAGATGATCTGGTCTGACAACCCAAGCTATCTGTGGGATTTTTGAAATAATTCATTTCTGTTACTAGAATGTTTGCCGAAAGCATTTTCTCTCCACCTTCTGTTTAATGGGAATTCTTTCTTCACACGGACACACAGACTCATCAAATCAGTGTGAAGAATCTATTTCATGGGCCTTTAAAAACAAGATGTGAGCTACAGTTGGCACTTAGCAAACACCCCCTTTTCCCCTAGCACTGAGAAAGCACCATGGATGGAATTTTTCCCTTCTCTAAAAAAGTATCAGGGTTGTAAGTGTGTGTTGGGAGGGGCAGCAATGTGTGTAGCCCAGGAGAAACTATTTCAATCTACCAAAGGGAAATATCATTTGGCTAGAGTGTCAAGCATTTGTAGAAATATTTAAAAATACATTTATTTATGAAATACCAATAATGATAAGTAGCTACATTTTAGATAAATTTCCCAACCTGTTTTTGCCTCCTTAAGGAACACTGTATTTCTAGTACCTTGAGCCCTTTATGAGTAGTGTAGGGGTGAGTGTAGGGGTGAAGATAATTAAGATGAGGGGAAGATTCTGGTCATAAACACTATCTTTTGCGTAATTTGTTCCAGGGAATTCTAGGGTATAAAACAGGTTTATATCTGTAACAGACTTTGGTCAAAATTTCATCTAAAATGTAAAGAACTTGAAAAAGTTGACACTGATGTTAAAAGGCTTAGTATATCAGTAAGATTTCACCATTACTACCAAACTACTAATGCACAGGTAGGACTCTCAAATAGGCAGAGCTGAGCAGAGCAGTAGATCATTTTTCTGGGCATGATTAGAAAGATCACCTGGGTCTAGCTGCTCATGTGGCACCCTGACAGAGCACACTGAGTGAGTGTACACACAAAGGAACAGAGTTCCTGTCACGCAATCAGTGATTGAGAGACAAAGGGCTCCTTAGACAGGCCAGCTCCCAAGTCTGTTTCCCTAAAAATACCTGATTGAACACTCTAACTGTACTATGAGGATTATTAACAAACACACTAATTTTTGGTCTAGAAAGATTTCAGTCATGACTTTAAATGAAGATGTACATCACAGTTTTTCTCATGCAGCTGCTACCTCAGCTTGCTACTGCTTGGTAGGGTGGATACATTGCTGTTACAGTCTCACAAATGCCACACAGTAAATTAAGATTGTAGGACATCCTCAACCATGCACTAAGATAGATGTTGGATAAAGCAGATCACAATGAACCACTGATTATCAACTATGACAGTCCAAGAGTAATGTTGTTTTATGAAAGTTTAGTTAATAGTGGAATGCATTACCTTTAAAAAAAAGAACTGTATACCTGAAAATCTGTCAGCATAGTGTAGTTAAAATTGCAAGTTTAATCCGTCACATAAAAAATATCTAATGTGCTAAATCAACAAAATGTATATAATTAATCTGGGTAGGCATTAAGTAGGTGAAATATATATTTGTCTTAAATAGTGTAAGTTGTAATTTTGTAATTTATATTTCACATATATCATCACATGCTGCACCTTTCTGATAAAACTGAAGGGTATCATCAAAGTTTGTTTTCCAAATAAAAATCCTAGCACTTATATACTAGGCATCAAAGGAATATTGACCCTCAACTGACCCTAAGGAGGAGTTATGTCTTTTAGTCATTAGAAGTTCATCAGGCCAGTAGTAGTTGTCCATAGGGGTGGTGGTAGCCTCCAGGAACTGACTCACCATCCTGAAGTAATTCTAATCAGTCTGTAGATGTGATGCTAATGGTTAAACAGCATCACAGGACTTAGGAAATATCCTACACCTTCCATTCATCTTCTGAAAGGCTGAAATGCAGATTCACTCCAGGGTTAATTTTAAATGAAATAATTTCCAGTCCAATTTCTTAACTGTATTAGGAAAATAAAGGGATGTACAACACCAGTGCTCTTAGAAGCATCTTCCTAAAGCAATTGAGAGTTATTCCTAACTGTATTTTGAGGTGTGGAGAATGGCCAAGTGATGAACAAAGGAAGAGAAATTTAGACTTGAAATACTAATTTAATTGCCTCAAAGATGAAAAGAGAAGATGTCTAAGGTTTACAAACTAACACAAGTGCATACTTTTAAAGATGCCCTGTTCTTTTAAGTACAAATTTAATTATGCAAGGTAAAAATTTGATTAGGCATTGGTAAAAATGACTTGTAGATATTTGGGCTGTTGGCAGATGTAGGTATAGCATGTGAGTATGTGTGTACATATGTGTAGTGGCCAAATGTTTGAAAAACCTTGGCACTATAGAACTATAATTATAAACAGTATAGCTTGATATCAATAGAAGCTCACCAAGTTAACCCTGGGTTGGTTGTTCTATCTGCCAAATTTGATTTTAAAAACCAGGATATCTTGATGAGATTAGGAATAGAGAATATTCACTCCTCTTGGCATGTGTTACAGCAGGGATATGGGTATTCCTTTTTTGAGTTCTGTAACATTCTTTTGTAGAAAATTTTCATTGAATTATTTGCAGTGAAATTCACAACAGGGTGGCAATTACAGAATTAAGAATAAATGCAGAACTCAATTACAGAATTAAGAATAAATGCAGAACTCTTCACTTCCATTAGGGTTTCGAAGATAGAAATTGTGGGATAAACCTTGGCAAGAACACCAGGGGTACTATTGCATCGCTTTCCCCTGACTGGGACAGTGGTCCAACTTTGGAATGTTTGACACTGTGTAAGTAAACACTTGGTTTAGGCTTCCCCATTAAAATCTAATAAAATATTAATGTTTTCTTATCTTCACTCTTACAGGATGTGAGAGTGGAAATTTATTACCAATTAGTAGAACTGAAACCAAGAAAGATTAAAAAAAAAAAAAAGAGCATGGATAAAACCCCAAATGCTCTTTTCCATTATTTTTTACCTTTTAAGTTACTGGTAATGTGTGTGACTTAGTTCCCTGACTTGTAGGCATTTATTCTCCAGAGATATCTTTCGATACATGCATATCTTCCTATCAGTACCCTTAACCAATAAATGTGCACCCAATATTTTCATTTCTCTGTTTCTGAAAAAAAGATTTTTAAAAATCCTTAACACAACCTCCTAAAAAAGAGAAAGTCAACCTAATGGAAGTGTCTTTCAGAATCTGTCAAGCACTGATCACTGCCCTCCCCAATTCCTAACTGTAAATAGTACTGGACTTTGACACAATGCCAAGTTCCTCAACAGGGTTCCACACAACACTGGAATCTGTTGTCTGTAATTTATACATTGGTTTCAGAAAATCTGGGGTAAAAGTCTGGATGTTCAAATGATTCCTTTCCTTTTTCAAATTGCTGTAGATCCAAAGGTTTCCTGGAACTTTCAGCTACAGAGTGTTCTCTAAGCAAAGTAAGCATGTTTAAAGACTTACACAATGGGGGTATGCTTTAGAATTACAAACACCCAGATTAAAAAACAGTCAAGAGGAAATCAGTCCTTCCTCAACTTAGGACCCATTGAAACGCTACTCAACAGCTTCTATATAGATAGAAGAACATAGCTGAGGTCTGAGCAGAAGGCAACGATTGGGGAAGCAACTCTATATCCTACAGGAATAGGAGCACTAACAAGGTTCAACCTAACTTCTACTCCAAATGTTGATGGTTCCAGAGAGTTGTGGTGGTGGTGGTGGTAGTACAGGAATGTGTGGTGGGGAGCAAGCCTCTAAGGAAGTGGGGGAGCTCAGGCCTTGGAATTCTATAGCTACTCACACTCTTCTTGGTTAAAACACTTACTGCATAACTGGCTTCCAGTAGATACCTTTTCATCTGCTCAGTGCTCCTAAATATTCAGAAAGTTGGGTAGAATTAGTGGAAAGAGCCGTCCTGGGGAAGGATATTTGCTTATTTAAATATGTAAATTGATAAAACTGTTTAAATCTGGTTCCAGTCACGTTAATAGTAATGGCTTAGTAATGGCCTTAAAAATAATATTTCAATTTACTTATAGTCAATGGCCTCCTCCATTATGAATGAAAAATAGATACATTGTTTCTCGTGACATTGACCTGTGACATTGTCCCTAAAGAGTAAAATTTTCACTTGATTTTCAGTTAAGAGGAAAGCAAATTAAGTCTCCTGCCATCTCGCCCTGCTCACACATACACATTCAAGCAACTCCTTGTTCATCATCTCTACAAGTGAGTAGCATAGTTTGAATCCATGGCACAAAAGTCAGATGGTAATAAAATGGTAGTCTGAAGTCCCAGCAGTAGCTTAACTGAGAAGAAATTTGAAAAAAACAAAAAGAAATGAAACTTGAAGACAAGTAAATAACAAGTCACATGCAGGTACCAGATGTTTATAGATGAATAGTCCTTACAAATTTAAGATCACATATTTGCCACATATTAACACAGCAAATCTCCCGAGATTTGAATGCATGAACGGGCCATTGACATCAAAGACTTCCTTCAAATAATTATTAGGCAGTATAAGTGAAGGCTAATAGACCATTTATGAATGCTGTTTCTTGGCAACCAGAGCCCCCTGGAGCTGCCTGTGTGCGAGGGGCACTAACAGCCACAGTTGGGCTGCGGAGGAGGAGGGGTTTCCTTGAGTCTTGTGTTCTGCTTTGCGGCAGTGATGGCTGGATCGGTCTCCAAACTCTCTGACATTTTGTCACAGATGATATCCACGAGGCGCTCAAATGTTTGCTTGACATTAATGTTATCCTTGGCACTTGTTTCAAAAAACTCAAACCCTGGAGGAAACACACAGGAACACAGCTTGGTCATTTACATTTCTGAAATTAAATGGGATTCGATTATAATTTTGAATTGTGAAAAAGTGATGGTGGGGCAGTAGGGGGGGTGGGTTTGATCTGGGTAAGAGATGACAAGTGGACATGAGCATCATTTCAGCCAAACTACCATCCTGCTACCCAAAGACCATGAATAAAAGAGTTATGATATAGAATTGGAGTATTTTATTTTTCCCCACTGATACATTCATGCTACCAGCACAGCTGAATAGACTTTAAGAAGTATTCTTTTTCAAGAGTTAGTAATGGCATCATTAATAATCCTATACACTGAGTCTGTCTTGGCTATCTCTTCCTCACAACCCTGGCCCACATGTGGCCGCCTCCAACCTTTTCTAAAACAGGTATTATTTGGCATTTCCTTTTTCCCATATCCACATTCTACCAAAGATATTCATTTTTATTTTTAATCAGCCTGAGGTTTAGAAAATATCTTGTGCACATTCTGTTGGGAAAGTGACTGCCAAGTTCTAACATAATTCAGATCTAACTTTTTCCACGCCTGCCCTGCTGCTCTCCAGTGATGGGGTTGAGGGTGGCTTCCAGGAAATGCCCAGTATCTACGAGGACACAAGGTGGCACTAAAGAGTCATAGGATTTACCTTAAGCTTGCTTCCATCTCCTTTAGGAAATTTTTGAATAGCTAGCCCAACAGTGCTCCAGGGCTTTGTACACAGCGTCACATCTATCTGCTGGGCAGTGGTGTTTTCACAGGTTCAGTTATCTATCAGTAGCAATGGTTTTAAACCAATCACTTGGAAAGGACACTTGATAAATTTCAAATTAGTAGTCAAAATTGCATGAAGGTACAAAAACGCAAGGACAGCTTCACTCTTTGACATGTCACTGTACCTGGGTAGAAACAGCCTTAGTATGCTGCTTTAAACAGTCTTATCACTCCATTGTTTGCATTCATGTTCCACTGGCGGAGCTTGCCAGTCAGTTGCCATGACAACTTCCCCACTAGGCCAGACAGAGATTGCTCTGGTCCATTCAGGGGATGTTGATTTAGGATGTATTGGGCTGAACACAGAAAGGCTTTCTAATCCACTCTGAATTTTACACCCTATAAATCCTCTGGTTACATCTGGCCCTATCTCAGAGGAGCCACATGGATTCCAAATGATTAAATCAGGTGATTTCATTCCAGCTCTTGGGACTAAAGGGAGAAAGAACAGACTGACACTTTGCATCTGTGTCAAAATCTCTCAGATAACCCAGAAATATTTATTTTATTAACTAGCATAGAGCAGGACAGAAAAATAAAACAATTTGCATGAGTTAAAATTTCTAATTATGATAATATTTGATTAGATGACTAAAATGAGCTTGAATTTCACTAGTTACTCTATTGTTAAAATACAAATGAATATTTGGCAGGATTTGGGCTGAAAAAATGAGTAGACCCAGGTTCTATAAAATAGAAGTGGATATATCAAATTGTCCTTGGCTTCTCTCTTTCATTTTGTCTCTTTGGTAAATGATTATGCAGTTCTATTTGTTATGCCCTTCTTTATCTGTGGATATGGCCATCTGGTATCAACCGAGCTCTCTTAGCTAATGTTCATACAATTGGGCTAGAACATTCACCTTTCAACAACGGCACCTAGATTTGGGGGAGGGCAAGTATGGATCTAAGCAATATCTTAGTTGCTTAGGTTTCCGAACTATTTGCATCCTTCTTGTGATTTTCCCAGTACTAATAGAAGGATGCTTCATGTCACAAGATATGAAGAACTCACTGAAGTAGTCAAGATTTCTGGATGAGACTTTGGAGAAAATAATTTTAGAATTTGGTAAAGTTCTCATTTACAGTTCAATTCTGTTATCACTTCTGTCAATACTTCTTTTACTTATTAGCATGTTTGGAAGTTATTAAACATTAAGGGTGTTGTAAAAGGTTTAGCTGTTGTAAAAAGTGGTTCACACAGTTTTTGCCAAATGAAACTCYTTTAACTTAGGCATTGAGGCCCTCATGATGCTGGTGTTCACCTGAGGTCATTAAAATGATTCTTGATCACAAAATCTTAAATGTCCTCAGCTTCTCTGCCTTAACCTGGGACCCTAAGAACACATGGYTACTCAGGACAGAGTGTCCAAGGAAGAGAATGACACACATTTCCCCAGTATGATTGAGCAGGAGATGGTAACAAGTCTTGATTATCAGCCCAAACATTTTGATACTCCCAATCCCAACACTTCCTCGCTTTGAGACTATGAGCAAGTCACATTTTTGATCTCTACTTGTTTTATTAATGACACTTGCCTTACCTATGTTACAGGGTTATTATGAGGCTAAAATAAGAAAATGTGAGCTCAAGTTCCAAGCAAACTGAAACAATAACAACAATGGTAATAATAAAACAACATTGATTGAGTGACCACTGCCTTGTAGATACTATCCAAAGCACTTATTTCCTCCAATTTGCTGATAAGGAAATGGAGGAAAACAAATGGCTAGGCAATTTGTTAAAACCTTTCCTAGCTCAGCTAGAAAGCGGCAGAGCTGAAATGTGAAGGATTAACTCCCGCTTCTCCAGATACCCTCCATAAGTCAGCTACTATTTGGTTCCATTTAAATTTTAAGTTCTATGTTAATTAATAATTGCAAAGTACATTATAAATTTTCACCAATTTAAACAATTAGAACATGATTAAATAGATTTAACACTGTCAGTGCACCAAATACAACAATCTTTCTTAATCATTTAAAAGGTTCTCTGTATCTTCTACTACTTAAGATGATCTATGAAGCTAGTCATCATGACAGCTGTCTCTCTTCAGAAGTACAGAATTATAGTTATAAAAGTTTCTGGAAATTAGAGTGTTTCTCACTGACCAATAGCATAAGTTGTTCATAGATTGAAATATTAAAAACATATCAGCATTAAATTTACAATCTATATTCATCATTCAGTTGTTTAGATTCAGGGAAAATAGGAGTTTACCATGGAGTTCACAATTCTTTTCACAGGTGAATCAGAGTCTTCTTTTAGTCACTTATGTGGGAGGCCATTCATGTCCCATACCTAAGTTGTTTGCATGAGTATTTGAAATGCATGGCCTAAATCATGACCACAAATCCAAACACTCCAGTTTTTCTTCTTCAACTAATTTGTTGGATTTCATGGATATTGTCTCTTCCAGTCAGTATCTCAGTATTTCAAGTTTAACAAATAGTAACATAAGCTTTCTAGGAGTTTCTCAGAAATCTTTATCCTCCATTCATAAATACTAACATTAATGGCATGGCAAGCTAGCACATCATTTAATGATGCTTCAGAAACAGAGGCTTGTAAAACTCTGAAGATTACTTCCAATTTACAGGGTTGGGAAGTATAGTTCGGCAAGATCAAATAAGTAGCCCAAGGTCACATAGCCAGCTGGCTGTCAGTCCAACAAAGATCTCCTGGTAAATAGGTTACTGATTTAGCTTCCAGCCTTGGACACCTGTCCCTGACTACATCATCTGCTAGTAATAATTTCAGCACACATATGTCTTCATCAACTCATCAGTTAACACTTTCATTCAGCTCAATTATGGAAACTCTGATCATCCTTTCTTGCTCCTCCTGTATCATAACCTCCCTAAAAATCTCTCTGGAAGAGATGACATTGATTCTGAGTTGGATGAGCATTGCCCTGTGGTCTGGCATATCTCTGCTTTAGGCTTCCTTATGGCTGTTTCTAAAACGATGGTTCCTGCACTTTCCAAAAGTCATTACAGGCACAGTGGGATACTATAGATGACCTCTTTTGCTTTAGGTCTTCTTGGTGTTAGGAGGCAGACTGAAGCTTGCAGAGATTTTGTTTGGAAAAATGTGTGAGCTATGCAAAGGAAGAAGCACAACGTCAATTTGTGTCTTAACTTTTTATGTGTGTGTGTGTGTGTGTGTGTGTGTGTGTGTGTGTGTGTGTTGCTGGAGATCAAACCCAGGGGCTCATGCATGCCCAGAAAGCACTGTACCACTGAGTGACCTCTCCAGCCCTGTGCCCACTTTGGATGTGCAAGTCATTGAAGGAAAGAGCAGAGAGAAGGTGTGAACCAGATTTCACTCAAAGGCCCAAGTGGTGTGATCCTATGCCCTGACTTCCTAGGGTTGGAGCCACACCCTGCGATAGAAACACCTAAAATGCTTAAAACCTTCTAAACTCCACCCCAGACATCCTGACATGGAATCAAGGTTATGGGAATGGGTCTTCAGATGATGCATAACAGTCTGCTTAGGTTTCTTACACACACATAAAAAAGTTAAGATTCACTCTCCTCTGTGAACCCATTCTCATAGCAGCATGATTGGTAATGGCCAAAAGGTAGAACCAACCTATGAATGGATAAATAGAATGTGTCATCTGACACAATGAAATATAATTTCACCTTCAAAGGACAGAAATTTTGACATATACTATGATATAAATGAATCTTAAGAACACTACAGTAAGTGAAATAARYTAATCACAGAAAGTTCCACTTATAGGAGGTATGTTGAGTAGTTAAACTCACAGAGACAGAAAGTTGAGTCCCCAAGAGACTGGGGGTAGGGTAAATGGGGTGCTGTTTAACAGATCCAAAGTTTCAGTTTTGCAACATGAAGAGTTCTGGAGATTGGCTGCACCACAATGTGAATGTACTCAATGCTCTTGAACTGTACACTTAGAATGATTAAGAAAGTACATTTTATGTGTTTTATATATATATATTCTACCACAATTTTTTTAAAAAAGATTCACTATCCACATACACTGCTGGAGGAAACTTTAAAATTATAAAGCCTCTTTTGTTTCTCATATGATTAAACAAGTAAGTGACCCAGCAACTCCACAGTTACACACTCAAGATGAATGAGCACACACGTCCACATACACAAATGTTTATATCAGCATTAGTCACAATAGGAAAAAAGTAGAAACTGTCTATATGGATAAATAAAATGTGGCAT